CAGAGAGTGGAGTTTAATTCTCTACTGTATTTGAGCTATAATTAGACTTTTATTTTTTCTTTTAACGAGCTGCTTTTAATGAGCCTTCACTTACTGGCAGACTTTCATTTCCTGATACGCCATCAAATCCTCTTGAAATCACTTAGAAGGCACCCGACCACTTTGCAGAATTTTTGTGCGTTTCCAGAACAATGTAGCCAAGTTTCTGACTTTTTTTTTTCACCCAAATATTTTTCTATTTTTTTTTTCACCCAAATATTTTCCCTTCTGTGATCCTTTCCCTTTTACTGATCCCTTTTGCAGCTCTTGCTTTGGAGTTGTGGGAGCTTATCAGGTGGGAGCGAGGGCGTGCGATGGGGTGCCTTGGCTGGGCTGAGGACACCGAGCCAGAGCGGGCAGGTGCCTGGGGTGCTGCTTCTGCGCCGGGGCTGATGCCGAGAGCTGCTTTGCAGCTGCTGGTTTCAGCCCTGGCTTCTCGAAGAGCTCTTGTCCCCTTTGCACGGCGCTGTGATCTGGGCCACCCGAGGAGCAGCCGTGGCTGAGAAGAGCAAGGAGCTTTCGGGCTGCTGCGTGCGTGGTTGGAGCCCGCGTGCCGCTGCGGTGCGGCTCTTTCCAGGCGGGAAGGGATGGATCCCCGAGGTGCTGGGGACGGCTCACCCCCTTGCTGGGTGCCGATGGCCTGAGCTGGCTGTGCTTGTGCTGGGCTGGAGTAACCGCTGGGTTAAGACCCTGCCATGGCCGACGTGCAGAGCCCGGGCTGTTCTGCCTCTGCCGCAGCCTGCTCCCCGGCCAGAACGGTGCTCAGCCATCCGGCTGGCCATAACAGCTTTTTTGGGGCTGTGTCTCGGTATTCCCTATGCTGCTGCTTTTCCATCTCTGGGAAGAGATGTCTGCCTGCGGGGAAGTGGAGCGTGAGTGCAGCCCACAGCATGGGGTTGCTTCATCCCTTGAAACACATTTAACTTAATTGAAGGGGGGTGAGTTTTCTCAGCCGAGCCAGTAGGCCTGTCTGGGTGCTTAAGGGTCTGCTGGGACCGCACCCTACAGCTGTAGCACTGCTGAGGGTGTCGTCAGCAGGAGCGGAGATGGTCTGAAGGAGGAAGAGATGTCTGCCTTCTCCTCTGGCCGCCAGACCCCGCTGCCTCTGGGAGGATGATGGTGCAGCCATCTCCGGTGCAAGCCGATTGCTCACAGTCCCAGGTGCATTTTCTTCCTAGCGTGAGGCTTGATTTTCCCCTTGCTTCAACAGGGGATGCCTTAGCTGCTGGAAAAAAATACGAAGACTTGGAGATTGAGAGCCGAGTGGTGAAAAAATCACAAGGCGCTTTTTGATGATGGCTCCGTCTCCCATGCAGCTGCCGTGCGTGGCTGCGCTCCCCCCTCGCAGGGAGCCGCCAGCCCGGGGAGAGCTGGAGGAATCCGTTCGTTCCTCTTTCGGCTGAGCGGTTCCTCAAACTTCTTGGAAGGGCTCGGGTGTCTCCTCCTGCCTCGCACGCCTCAGGAGAGCCGGAGGCAGGTCGGACGTCGGACGTACCCGCTGACCGCAGTGACATTCAGAAGTGCTCTCTTCATTCCGCTGCTTTTATCACGAATGTTCCCCACGGCCTGAGCCGCTCGCGGGCGGGTGGGAGCGTGTTAAAACGGCCGTGATCTCTGAAGGTGCCTACATGGATGCGCTCCTTTCTATTTCCCATCTCCCGAGGGGTGGCTGGCATTGGAGACAGCTTTGGGGCTGGGTGCGTTTTACTGCACGTGTGGTGGGGACGTGGTGGACGTGCTCGTGGAGCTGCTCCTGGGCTCCTTGCGTGCTTCTGCTGGGGGGGGAGGCACGCGCAGCTCTGGCTGCGTTGTCCCAGCACAGGCAGACACCTGGAGCTGGTGGCGACGGCACGGTGGGGCTTTGCAGGCAGCTGCTGCACCCCAAAGCATCTATACCATGAAACATGGAGCTGTAGCAATGCAATAAAGAGGATGAGAAAGCAGAAGAGCCACCAAAGCGAGCTGCTCGGCACTGCTGTCTCTGAGGGCAAGACGCCCGGGTGATGGCCATCCGCCCCTGCGGGGCTTGCTGTGGTTGGACTCGGGTCTTGGTGGTTTCTGCTCAGGACAGCTTGAGCTGTGTGAAAGGGGGAGAGAAATGGGTCTTAGAGCCGCTTTCCCAGCAGAGCGTGACGGCTGGAAGGTGGCTCGTGCGGTGCCGGTGCCCTCGGCACCTCTTGCTCTGCCCATCGGGACAACCGGCGCCTCGTGGCATGTTCACACTGCAGTCGTGTGCAGCCAGAGCACTCGGGCTCCCTGTGGAAGCTCACTGAAGGCTATCTTGGTGACCCGTGTCTGTCTCATGCTGTCCTGTAGCTCCTGCATACCCTCTTGGGTCCTTGGCACCTCTCACCTTGGCCGGGAGGGCTGCCACAGGTCCCATCGGGCTTACTCTGACCGGAGACGTCCGCTC